CACTGATTGAGCCAAGAAGATTCCAGGTTCCCTGAGGTGGTATCTTCCCACTGACTGTGCCTTTTGTTGGCCCTATGCAAATCAAGGCAATTCACACCATGACATCAATTTAAGAGTGTTAACATCCACTGCATGAAATAATGAAGGAGTTCAGGGGAGAGGACAAAACCTTGACTCCCCAAATGACTCAGACCAAAGAGGTTTAAAAAGATTTTAAACCTCCTTGGTCCTATAAAGCATAAAAGAGGCCTTTCCTGTCAAGATGCATGTACATGTACTGGTCTTTCCAGCCAGCCTTTCTATAAAATGATTGTTACTGTCCTGTAGGGGAACTAATTGAAACCAACCCTGTAAGGAAGACAGAGTGCCCAAGGAGGTTTCAAACCTTCTTGTGCTCTCAATACTGTAGAGATACCAGGGAGCCTAGTACGATGGTCTGGTTGCCAGGCTACATGTATGTTTGTTCAAAAATTGTTGTCTTGTCCCTTACAAATTTCTATTGGAGTCAACTCCACATTTGGAAAAGAGAGCACATTCCTTGATGGTGACAATTTCAAAATTTCCCCCTTTTTTACATAACAATTTTTTGGAAAGATTTAGATTAGAAACAATCAAGGAGCTTTATTTGAATAACCTGAAATTGTTTCAGTGAACGTGAAGTACATTTGTGTATGCGCCAACATGGTATTTGGAAAGAAATATTAAACTTTTGGACGGGTGGAAGGGGGGGGGTCTGAGCATCTGGACAGGGACACATACTGTATAGGGAGGGTCTGAGCAACATCTGGATTGGATTTGGAACTAGGATTAGCCTGGATGCCAGAACCATAGCACACCCAGCCCAAAGTAATATCTAGTGTGTCCTGCACTTTGGGCCCAGTGTGCTGTGAGTCTGGCATCCAGGCTAATCTAGGATAGGGTCCAAACCTGATTTTTTATGTCTTCCACCACACCCCTCCACAGTTTCTTAAGTTTAAAAATAGAAAAAAAATTAGTCCTTCCAAAATACCTTGTTAGAGTCATTCTATCCTTTCTTGTTCATATTCATAAGCTGAATCTCCTTAATCCAGTTGGACTATGTTTTCACATGGAGGTACACTGTATAACAGGATCCATGGTTTTCAGGCTCTAACAGCCCAAGCCTTTGACACTACTCCCCAAGGATAATTAGTGTCAACTTGATAATTGGGCAGTGACGATTTGCAATGTCTAAGAACAATAACCGACCTGACCGACCTTTGTTTGAACCCGCATAACCGTTCCCACTGCAGAATATTTACATTGAAATTTCCAACAGGATTGTGCTTGTGCGCTCCTTGCTTACTAGTATTATTAGACTCATATACTAGTAGTAGGATTTTGGCACCAAAATTGGAAATACTAGTAAATGTTTCAATCACATTTCAACTCTACAGTATTAAAAAAAACTGTTGACATGTAGCAACCTGACCAAAACAAAAACAAAAAATTAAGCCATGAGTAGGCCTAGGAAGGCAAGCTTTAGTGTATTTTAAAATAGAGTAGTTTAAAAACCTCCTTGAATCGGCTTGATGTAATGTTGCAATTTTTAGATGTACAAATGCTGCGTAACAACACTGAGCCAAACCCTACATCTGCTTGGAGTTGAATTTAAAACTCCTTGCTCCAATCAAGGACATGCTCCAATCAAGGAAGCTCCTTGCTCCAATCAAGCTGTATGTGTAAACACCACCACATTCATTTGCATGTGGTCTAGAGCCTGCCAGTCTCAAGCCACCCAGGGAAGCCACCAGCCCTGACCAGTACCATCTGTGCATGGAACAGCAGAAGTGCCCGGGCATCTTTGCTGTAAACCTCCCATACAAAAAGTTAAAAGTATTAATCTTTTCACATTTGCCAATGGACTCTTTATACCTTTTAGTCACCAGGAAAGTCATTATGGAAAATCTGGTAGAATTTTGAATGTGTATTTGAAGTGACCACAATATACTATTCCTAGCCTACCCCCTCCATGAAGTTGGTATTGTCCTCAGATCTGGCTCAACTCAATCAGCTTGTCCCTAGGCCTAAACCTGTGTCTGTAAAGAGGAAAGTCACCTGTTTTAGAAAACAATCACTGTCATCACTGTGGCTGTTAAAAGGATTATTAACAAAGAAATCCCAACTGTTTAATCATGGAGGTAGAAAAAAGAGACCTCCATGGTTTAATACAGTAGTGCTAACAGAAAGCTGCACATTTTTTTTAAAACTGAAAGTGTGAAGAACAAGGCTACCTTGTTTTCAACCTTGTTTGTAAAATGGTATTGTTGCTGTAATAGCAATGTTCTTGTGCTCATTTATAGCCTTGGTAACAATTCCTATCAGCATACTGCCTCTGCGGTGTATACAGCATTCAGGGCATCTCAGCAGGGAACACAGCTGGTCTCAGTATATGGTCTCCTTGATAATTTTTAGTCTCTACCAAA